ATCATTGTCAACAAAGTCATCTCCATGATACAGATCATCAACAGCATCTTATCATATCATTGTCAACAAAGTCATCTTCATGATACAGATCAACGGAAAAAAGAAAAGGACTATATCATCGCCATCCCCACCATTATCATCATCGTCATCATCTTCACAGTCAGCATCGTTATCGTCATCTTCAACATTTCATCAACAGCGACAACAATAATAAATCAAGCCAGCCAATTTTTAAAAACCTTGTCCATCAGATCACAAGTGATACCGTTATAAGCCCCTCAGCCCACTATCATTTGATTCCATTGTTCTTTTATCGTTCTAARAACGAAAAAAACTTTGAAGACGTATAAGCTATTGCAGCGGTATCTCTGTAGGAATATAAATGAGATCACTCCACCTCGACATCACTCTTCGAGATAACTACCGAAGTGTCAGCCAGCTGCTGAGATTTACTGTGGTTCTTCTACTCATACTCTGCGACCGTGCTTGGCAGGTTTTCTCGTTTCCCTCCCACTCCTCCCTTTTATTTCTAGTGCAGTTTTCACTCTCTAGCTGCTACGCTCGACCGCCATATCTCCCATTCTCATTGTATGAGTAACAAAGATATCACTGACAAGATTATACTAAGGCTTATAACTAGGAYTTTACGACATCCATGTTCTAAATCACGATGAATATACGATTACCTATAACAAATAATGATGTTACTCTTCTATCAACTCCAGCAAGATTACTAGCTTCACAGGTATATTTCTTCGAGTCTCCAGGATCCAAATTAGGCAGCTTTAGTATTTCCCCAGATACTACAATCTCCTCGAATTTCCACTGAATCGTGGGCGTTGGCAGTCCTTTTGCCGTGCACCTTAATTGCAGACTGGCTCCCTCGATGCTTTTGATGGTGCTTCCAACTTCCGTTATAACAGGGACAGCTGCAAGGACCTCTTGGTCTTTGGGGTTTCCTTGTATTTGAGGCTTAATCGGAGCTAAAGATTAACAGTTACAATGTTATATATAAAGTAAATAGACTTCTTGTAATGATCGCAAACGTAACGCCATTAGATCTAGAATGAACAATGTTAGATGCAATAGTACAAGGAAATGGGCCTGGCAGTATGAAAAAACACCGTAATCTATTCCTTCGACTTTGCTCGTATCTAAAGAAMATGTTTTTATCTGCTACTAAGCAGACAAAGTTATCATTTACCTCGGGCGCTGCAGAAATGCTTTGYTCTTGAGCAATTTACGGTATGATTGATAGAACTGCTTTTTTTATAAGGGGGAAACATACGGTACCGAATTACAGCACGTTAACGGTACGACATGCCATAACATTGAAATGGCTTCCCAGTGTCTTCTCGTCATTCAACCAATCACAACGCGAATTTGCTTTATCGATTGCCACATATACGAAAACCCCTCTACTTAGGAACTTACCCTTCAATTCGAGTAATACCCCGAGCCATCGGAYACTCTTTGTCAGGAACATTATGTTTCTAGATTCGTGATCATTTCAACTTACCTAAGACAGTCACATCTGAATGTCGTTTATCACTTGCCACAATATTGGTAGCCGTGCATCTATACCGTCCAGTGTCAAGAGACTTGGTCTGATTGATGACTAGACTGTTGCCAATAAGCTGAAATCTTCCTAGGCTTTTGATTGGCTTGCCATTGAAATCCCACGAGAAAGAAGGAAGTGGCACACCACTTGAAGGGCATGAAATGGAAAGCAATGAGCCAGCGAGCATTCTGATAGACGAACCGACGGTTGCTTGGACGTTTGAGAGATCGTCAAGGGACTCTTGACTGGCGGAACCAAAATTTATCGAAGGACTTTGTGACGCTACGGAAATGACATACCGTTATGACATATAATAGTGTTAGTAACAGTGCAGAGATTTAAGACTATGTTTACCTATACGTATAGTGAATACCAACTACTTTGCGTGAGCTGGGTACTATATCTGGAGGGGAGGGTAGTGTCGCTTGCAGCAATTTTCCAGAGCACAATATAATGTGTTTAATTTCTCAGTAGAGTAAAGTTCTACTTTGCCCTCTAAAGCGAGCTGTACTGGGAATATAGATACGTGGATGCACCCTAGCTGGGGTGATAACAATCATCTTTGCCTTACGAGGTTAGCACTTAAAAGCCAATAGGTAACTGCGACCCTCATTATGCAGGCAGATTTTCCCAGCTATCAAACAACATAGCACCTCTTTTTTTGTACAACGATCGCATAAATCTAAGAAACTGCCAATATCCTTACCTATTACAGTAATAGTGGACGATACCCGATCAGCACCTCCAACATTGGTGGCTATACACTCATATTCTCCCGCTACTTGAGGTGATACCTGATGGATCTTCAAGACAGTGTCCTTATTGAATTTCCTAAACTGACCCTTAAAATCTTTCTCCTCAAACTGCTTTCCATTTCTGCGCCATTTAACGTAAGGGAAGGGCACCCCCCTGACGTTACAGAGGATGGTGACATCAGTGCCTGAGAGTGCGGTCAGGGAATCTCCAATCTTCATATTGACGGGTGCTACGCTCTTGGTTGTGTCAAGCTTGGCCTTGCCAATTTCAATTGAGACGCTTTTTTCATCTGTGGTGCAGATAAATAAAACCAAATTTGTTAAAGAACCCATATAGTTCAAAATATTGTATTGTTACTATGGGAACACCTTATACCTGACTTAGGACGCTTTTAAACTACACCTTGTGTCTACGATATGGTGCGTGCGCCGTTGCGAAAATAGAATTATAGAAGAAAATTTGAACAATACGGCGTATGCAAGTCATATTCTTTTGGTGCGCATGCAATTACCTAAAATCTTATCCATATATTTGGTTCTAAACATGAACTCGAAGTTGTATTCTACGGTCGACCTGTGAAGCGCACGATTTGCGTACGAGAATGCACTCCCAAATGAAGTTTGAGAACACTAAAGGTGTCCATAAAATCTAGCGTAAAAAGTGCCTACGAACCTATGATGCTAATAAATGAGGATTTACTGGCTTCGCCCAAAGGATTGACAGCCGTGCACACATACTGTCCAGTATCTGCCTTCTGTATCCCATTTATAATCAGATCGTGGTTGGCCTTGTCAATGAGTACTCGCTGCGATGACACCACGTCATTGTCATTAATAGTCCAAGTCACAGTTGGTCTAGGGAAACCAGTCACAGGACATCGAAGTCTGAAGATCATGCCTTCGATAATGCGAAGATCTTGGCCTATTGTGATACTTGCTTCTTCAATGTTCCCTTCTCCGACTACACGACCAGTTTTTGACTTGATTTGTGGCTTCAGCCCAGCTATTTAATAAAATGGGAAACACCATTAGCCATTGTAATAAGTGTAGTTCTAGTTCAGACGCCGGCCATTACTTTGACCGATGACTGAACTATCAGAAGGCAACAATCCCAAAGTATGGAACAGCAATTTGGTTGAGTATGGAAATCATTGCAGCAAAGACTGAATGAATTCTATTATTACCTATAACGTTAACTTTGGAGCTGTYAGTAGCTGATCCAACCGGGTTCATCGCTGTACAAGCGATATCTCCATTTTCATTTCTAGTAAGCTTCTTAATGACAAGGGTGTTTCCTTGGACCACATACTGACTAAAAAAACGAGTGACCGCTCTACGGTTGATCTGCCAAGAAATTACGGGCAAAGGCAAGCCTTTAGCAGGGCAGATGATCCTAAGCAGAGTTCCTGTAAGGGCGGTGGCCTGTTCTCCTATCGTTACGGTCAACTCTTGGTCCTTCTCCAGCGACGAACGAAATCCTGATTTACTTTGGATCGAAGGAGGCTGAGGAGCTGTTAAAAAAAGACCAAGAATGAAAAATCAATGTAAAATTATTATAGAATTAACGATAGCGTGTTAGAAACAATGTTGTCATGAGTTTAAGGACGAGATAAAAAAGCAGCTAGCATCTCGAGCCCCTAATGGCCCCTTGTTTGAGTTGTAGCCATATTTATGTGTCTTCTCGTTCGCAACCGTTAAACAAAAAAATGATAATCTAGGGTATGACACGTGGTCTGAAATAGTAAAACAGTACTCTTATAACCATTGCTTTGACTAATTCAATTCTATCGCAGATTTTTACACATACCTACTATTTTCACGTAAGAAGACTTGGTATCTTTTCCAGCAACATTCTTGGCCGAACAGCTATAAACACCAGTATCAGCAACCCCCATCTTGTTGACAATAATGGATGACTTATCACGTGATATCATAATACGTTTGACGCGTCCATCTATGGGCTTTCCTTTTGCCGTCCACGAGAGAAACGGGGCTGGTTTGGAGGTAACTGGACATTTTATCATAAGGGCTGCGCCTGATATGAGAGTCAGGTTCGTACCAATCACAATTAAGACCTTTCTGTCACTCATGGGTGCATCAATGACTTTGATTTGGGCATCTATCTTGGGTGGAGAGAGATCTGAAATAAAGTTATATAAATTAGTTACATTATCAAAATTATTACATTCGACGGGATTTGTGGACAAATGCACCCTGCACCTTGTCTTGAATGAGAGGCTAACAGAAATACAAAAAAATGCCACAAATTTCATCAAGAAAAACTGTGATATCTTTTGCATTTTTATTTTAGTCTTGCATCTATGATACTTTTGAGAAGGGTCCATTGCAAGTGTATGCGAAGCTAAGACAATCTAATTAGTCTAAGCATCTTATTAGATAGCTATCTTTGGGAAAGGAAGGAGGACGTGTTCCTAGCACCAGTGTCACCCTACCTTCGTGCAAACGGCCTGTGCTCAGATTAAAGAAGGCAATATTTAAAATACAGAACAATATAATAATAATAATAATAATAATAA